GACAAATTACTAATTGGGATTGCTCAGCAAAAAGGACAGTTTCTGCCCAAAACTACTGGTAAACTTCCATAGACTTTCTCTGTGGGCTGAGTTACTCTGTGTTTTATGGGTTTTCATATGATGTGGATTGTTTCTAGTTATTTTTGGTTCTTAGCTTAGAGTCTTTAATTTGAGAGGTTAATGTAAACATGTAATGATTCAAGCAAACTGATTGTGAGTTGGGCAGGTCTACAATACAGTACAGGGCCGGAGGACTCTGGGCATCTGTGTCTTTTTGGCAATGAAGAACAGTTAGCTTGGTTTGCCTTTCTAGGGTATTTATACATTGTGCTACCATTCAAGATATCTGAATCCTGTGGTGGCTACACCGCATGCCTGCTTTTAGTAGTTATTATTTACATTGTAAAAGGTTCTCTATTTGCTGAACAAAAGAAAAATACACACACATACACACTTTGTGTTTTGGTTTCGAGAATTGGTGCCTATACTTCTGGGTAAATGGGAAAGTGTCTACAAGAGTTAGGTGGCGCTAACAATCAAAGATTCATCTTTATCAAGCCTTAAGGCAGTTTCATTTAAATATTTGTAGAGACACTTTGATTCCACTGTTGATTAGGCATTTGTTTCTTATTGTTTCCCATACCAAATAGTTTTAACAAATCCCTTCTTATGACTGTTCTGTTTCTCATCCAGTCCATGCATATGAATTTTGAGGATGCTTTGGGGAAACCTGGAAAGATTGCACTTACATGGATGTTGCTTGTCAACATAGTTCCATTAGAAGAGCTGTTGACAGGTTTGCAAGGACTGAGAATTTATAATATCAACCAATCCAACTGTTTGACGGGTAATTTCCTAAAACTTGTTTCTGGAACCTTCAAACCATTCCTTTTAAAAAGTAATTATTTTGCTTCAAACCACCAATTCTTAAGCTACTTAACTGAGCACAAAACGGTACTGGGCTAGTTGTGTCCACATTTCTGTCCATTTTTTCTTTTGGCCGAAAGAAAGAACACCAGCTTTGATGATATGTGAACATAATATTATTTTTTTTTCATTCACGTTGCTTCCTTCTCTTCTTGCATATGGTTTTACACTCAACACGGAAGAGTACACATACATTAGATTTCACCTTTTGGCCTATTACATATGCATTATGCATAGGCTAGAATGACTAAATCTTGGTCCTGCCTTTTATTTC